CTTGGAGTTTTTTTTTTTTTTTTTTTTTTTATTTATTTATTTATTTATACACGCACTGGGTACAGTCAGAAGCACGGGAGGGTGAGAGAATTCACCAGAGCCAGAGCGGGGAGCAGAGCAGGCAGAAGGACCGAAGCACACACACACTGCTGAGGGGAGCAACGGGCGGCAGGACAGGTCTGCGCGCCATGCGGGACCCTCCTCCGGTGGCCCGGGAGCAGCCGGGGATGGAACTGGCGCTGTAGAGGCTGCCGGCAGCTTCGCAACCCAGCGCTCAACCCCTGCGCCACCGGGGAGGCCCTCTATCCTTGGAGTTTAAATACTGGTGAAGTGGCTAGAAGACATTGACAACTGCCCTTTCTCTTTTAAACAGTTCATGAGGGCTGTCTTGAACTCAGCTCCAGTTCTTCTAACTCTGCAAGACAGGATGGAATGGAACAGGGCAGGCACCTCACTAAATTGTCACCTCACTAAAACTGAAAAAACTGAGGTGGATGCCCCACATGGCCTGGCACCAGGCAGGAAGCAACAGCAAAAGCCTGGGCTGGCACCCCAGTAGCATGCTAGGCAAAAGCAACCTGTATGAAGGTACTTCCAAGATCAAGGCCAAGGGTGAAGCACTGACTGCCAGCTCCAGCCAACAAATTACCCCCCATGGTCCTTGAACACTTACTGTCATGTGTGACTATACATTTAAAACTGTAGAAAATACTGAGGTATACAGACGAAGATAAAACCCACCCAAACCTCACCACCCAGCAATCATCACTGTTAATTTGTATTATTTTCCATTTAACACATTGTGAGTCTTCCTTTGTCATGAAATAGTCTATAATGTGGTTGTGAAGGGCCACTTGCTGGTCTGTTGTATGAACATACCCCCTTTTTATTATCAATCCCAAGTGGTTCTTGGGTTGTTCCTCATTGCTCAGTATCAGGGGTAACACTGAGTTATGACAACATTTGCACAATACACTTTGATGCCTATTTCTGGTTATTTTCTAAAGACAAAACTGTAAAAGGGGACTTACTGGAAGGGTCATCCAATGCTTCTGGCTGTCATAATTGGACACACATACAGACACCCCTCCCCACCTTCTTTTTTGCTTGTAAAGGTGTGGCACACCCAGTTCATAAAACACTAATCTGGTGCAGTCCTCACCCAGGAGACAATGGTGCCAGCACAAGGATTAAGGTATTGGCCTTATTGTTCAGACCCAAGCAATGCTCTGCAAATAGCCTTCTTTAAATAAGTCTTCTTTGAAAACAAGCACTTTGTGTGCTTATAATCTGGGTGAGAAGAAAGCATGAAAGGTGAAGCTGGGTGGTGGAGTGGACACACAGGGACTTTGGAGTAGGAAATATCTGAGCGCAAATCCAACCTGAGCCATGCCCAGAAGGTGGGACATTAGCTAAGCCCTGAAGCCCCACTGGGCGGATGTGATGAGCTCAGGCAAGGGTGTGGGGCTAGGCACAGTGGCAGGCATCCAACTCACGTGGGTGATTCTGATACATGTCAGTAACCACCCTGTCTATGGGAATCTATTAATCTACTCTGGAGACAGAACCCGCATGGGGGCCTGATCCCAATTTGCAAAGGAAGGAATAGATGCACTTTTCTCCTCCAGCAAGCCTTTTAGAGTTTACTTTAACTAGTACTGCTTACCTTGATGACAATTGAGATAAATATTAATGTTTTGAACACTTGGCCATGTACCAGGCACCCTTCCACCTTCTTATCCTCACAAGGGTCCCATAAGATAGGAACATTTTTAGCCCCTCTGACAGATGAGGAAACTGAGGACCAGGCGATGACATCTGCCCCCGTGACAGGTCAGTGAAAGCCTGGAGTCACAAACTGGTTAAAGTAGAACCTTTTCCTCCGAAAGGCACACAGCCTGCTCTCAAAAAATAACCACTCTAGTGGACAAGAGGGCCAGCCACATGTCACACAAGCTCAGCTAAGTGCTTCTGAGGGCATGCATCAGAGCATAGATCTTGGTGAACAGTGGCCCAGGAAAGTGACTGAAAAAGAGGGTGGAGATAGACTGTTTCAGGCAGAATGAAACAGCACATGCAAAAGCCCTGGGGCAGGAAAACAGGAATGAGGAATCTGAAAAGAAAATGAGTATGGCCACAAAGGAAAAAGGGACAGAGTGCTCTGTCGGAGGCTAGGTAAGAACTTTGGAGTCTACCTGAGGGCCAACAGCAGGGAGTGACATCTGCTCAAGTAGTCATCTCCCATAGAGACCACTGTCAGCAGCCCGGTGGAACTGAATCCTCCAGGAGAAAAGGATTCTACTTCAGTTAACTAGCCCATCTGCTACCCAGGCCAGGGCTGAGGGAGACATTTGGGCAGGGCTGTCTCACTTTATAAGTAACACCGCTTAACCTCCCATAGAGGACCACATCTCACAGAGAAGCTTAGCTCGTGCCAGGCTCTGTACCAGGAACTCTACCTGGTCTCACACTCAAGTCTCACATTGGTCCTGTCAGATATTGAACTATTATTTGCTTTTCAGATGGGACAACTAAATCCTAACCAGGTCAAGTCACATGTCCAGGGTCATACAGAAAGTGGCAGACAGATATCTAAGTTCTGGATGGCTGAGACAAAAGTCCTGCTTTAATCACAATGATTTTATAAAAAAAAGTCTTACCAATAATGATGTACAATTATACCCACATGTGCAGTTTCTTCAGCTACTCTTCAGGTACCCAAACAAGGAAGGGCCTGACTATGTGTTCTGTCCCCAGCCAGGTTCTAGCCTTCTTCACTGTGAGTTCTCCATCCTCTAGGCCTTCCCAGCCTACTGGGGAATCTCTGTGGCTTGTCTTAAACCTAACATCTGCCCACTCCCTGCAATGTTTCCAACCAGCGAGAGTGGCAAAGACCTGGCAGGCCAGTCTCGTCCTGGCAACCATTACTAGACTATTACACCAATGGTCTAATAGTATAGCATAGTAATTACTAGACTATTAGCCCCAATTTTTAAAAAGTAGAAAATTCTTGAACATGCTCTAGAGAAACAATCCCTGCCTTTGTTCTCATCTAGTGGGGCATGGTCCCTGACATAGGGATCTTGAAGCATCAAGCCCAGAAAAGTGTCTTAGGGCTAAACTGTCACCAGGAAAAAGAAACCTGGTGAATGTGTATGGCACCACAACTGGCACCACAGGCTGTAAGCTCAACCACTAAGAATCCCATAGTTAGTCTTAATTCTGCTGGGCACACGCCTCCCCACCCCAACTAACTCCCCGTCTTCCTAGACCACCACCAACTAGTCAGATGGGTGATAAAGAGGCTTCATCTTAGCATCTGACAAAGTCTTTGAGCTGAAGCTCCTATGAACTAGGGGCAGCGGCCAGACACCCCTCTCCTTACAGCTCCCAAAGAGCCGGAGACCTGCTCCTCCACAGAATAACAGTCACTATAGGCCAAGAGCCTAGCAATTTCTGAGAAAGCTACCTGCTTAGCTTATTATCTGTAGTCTGATTCAACAAAAGCAAAATTTTAAAAAATTTCCCATTAAAGCCAACAAAGGGAAGCTGGTCTTTGCTACCTCTTAAGTTTGCGTTTCTAAAACAACTAAGTAAAACCAGTGGTGAGGTCCCACAAGTGTCACAAAGAACCCTGCAAAAAGATTCTGCTTTCTAAAACCAGGGTAAAAATTAAAACTGCTCATGCTATCCACAGAGGATTTCTCTCTCCCTAACCCCCAAACTAACAAAGTACTATTGAAACTTTTTTTTCCTAAAGAAGCTATTCACAGCTTCCTCTTTTTTTTTTTTAAGATTTATTTTTTTATTTATGCATACAAGAGCTGGCGCACAGGCCAGAGGTGTGGGGGGCGAGAGGATTCACCAGAGACAGACCGGGGAAAAAACAGGCAGATTGATCAAAGTACACTGCTGAAGGGAGCAGCGGGCAAGTCAGGAGAGGTTTGCTGCACCATGTGGGTTGCTCCCTGGCTGGCCGGGGGATGGAACTCGTGCTGCAGAGGCTGCAGACAGCTCCACGGGCTGCATCTTAACCCCTTGTATCACCAGGGAGGCCCATAACTTTTATTTAATGAAAGGAAGTGAAAGAAGAATTCACTTCCTATAGTATCTGCCTAGTCAGATTCTTAAAATGAGTCCTTTTAGATTCATTTGCTGAAACTCTGAGTCAAATTTACTGTCAATATTTGAACTGAGAAGGGAACAAGTCACCATAATTGCTAGTCAAGGCTCTGTCTCCTGCCTTGTTGAGCTATGTTGAGAGATAATGTAGCCTAGTGATTAGGAGTGAGGATGCCTCCATTAGACACCTGAATCTCAGTGCTATCAAGTCTGTGTCCTCAGCAAAGCCTCCGAATCTCAAAAATGAGGATGCTAATATACCTTGCATTGGGTTGCAGTGCAAGACATAGAGCCTCTGCCAGAACTAGCCATGCCAACATTGAAAAGCTGCCTGTCATCACCTCCTCTCTGCCCCAACTAATGTTATAGGAAACTTCCCCATTGCCTTTGACCATGCAAGGACACTCACATGTCCACCTCTGCTTGGGTGGTTAGACTTTATCAAGTGGGTACATGAACTTGCAAGTAAGGTTTGCCTTAGCTCATGTCCCGGCTCTGTCACCAGCCAGCTGTGAGGTCAGACGTCAGTGACAGCCGGTTTCCTCACCTGCAATATGATGGTAAAAATTACCCAGTGTGTAACTATGAAGATGAGATAGTGTTACATATATATAAAGAACCTGGAAATCCAAGGTTGGCTTCCAGAAATTAGGAGAAATGGCAGAGGGTACAGGAGAGAACTCAACAGGCAAAACGACTAGCAGTATCCTGGGTGAACATGAACAGGGAGAAGGAAAGATATGCCAAGGGCAGGAGGCAAGGATTTAACAACTTTCCTCATTTGGGCAGTCAACAGTACTTCACTCTTCAAAAGAAACAAATGAGTAAACAAGGAAACCGCAATTTTTAAAATTATATGTCCCCAAGACCCAAGACCCTCACATAGCCTTTTTTTGTGAAATGGCCAGAATCCTGTGGCTTCTGTGTCCCTGCTATTTCTCACCCCTCATTCTTGTTTTCTCCTGCATTCCTGCCATTGTCTGCTCACTATCAACATGCCAGTGAGCACTTATATTCATCACCCTATTCCAATTCACCATGCAGTGAAGTAGGCTCTCTGATGGGTCCATTCCAGAGATAAGAAACCCAGGCCCAAAGGTGCCATTGCAGGGTCACAACTCACCCCGAAGTTGATGAGCAGCAAGATGTTAGCAGAAGAACAGGCACCTGTTTGAACGACAGGAAATTTGCTTGTGGCTCTCTAACATCATTGGTTCTTTTCAAATTTCTGCAAAGAAGGTCCAAATTTCTTCTTGATGGAGGTAACCTCTGTCCCCGCTGTAGACACCATGCAAAGGGTGAGGCAAATGGAGACCGGCAGCAGGCCCTCTTCTCAGAATGCAAGTGCTTCTGGCCACATTCACTTCCCAGTCCTTGATAATTTCTCCGTCTCTGAGGCGGAGCCTGCAGAAAACTGCAGTGGGAACCCCAGCTATTCGGGACACATGAGGTAGAATAATGAGCCACTACGCTCTTAGAACAAAACATTTTATTTGATGCAGAAACTCTAAGGTACAAAAACATTTTGCAAATGTCAGCTGTGATCTACTGTCACCTATTTACAGAATTATGTACACATCAAATATGACATTAACATTTTCAATTAAAAAAAGCTAGCACACTGCTACAGTCTGTCAGTGCTCACTATTCCACCAAACCCCACGAAGGACAAACTTAAAGATGAAACAAGCACAATGGCAATAACCACAAATTCCACAGGCTCCCCCTCCTAGAATTCAGTAATGGGGGCTTCTGCAGGGAAGAAAAAAATCTAACAGTGAAAGTAGAAGTTACACCTACTCTCTAAATGAACTCATTTGGTTTTTACAAAAGTTTTTGCTCTGTCCAGATTCATCACATTTTTTTCTTTAAAACAGACAATTACACATCAGTGTAACCCAAAGGTCTATTTTTTTGTCTAACAAACGGAGCAGCCAACCTTGCCTATATCATGTACAGTTTACCTGAAACTTTGCAACTGAAATCTTATTCAATAGTTATAAACATCAGATATGGATCACAATGGTTTGCTTTTGTCAAACTTTTGACCACAAAACACAGTGCTTGGTCAATTCAGAGCCATGGCTCCAGTCCTTTAGAATAAGGTAAAGTTCCTTGAGGAATGTGTGGGTCCTAGCTAAATTTGGGGATGAAGCCAAAGAGCAGGAAGGAAGACACCTAACTATAATTCCCAAGAGGTCCTCCACTGAACCTCTTTGCAAATTACCCCTTGTCTATCTGGCCAGCAATGAAACTGAAGTCTGCACCACTTAATATTGTACATTATGAATTTATAGCAATGTCTAGAAATAAGTAAAAATAGAATTCAAAATTGGGAGGGAGCCACCTAGAACACAAGAGCTGGTCTTGAAGCAGCTCAGGAATGACACAGGAACAAGCACCTAGTATTTGACCCAAGAAGGGGAAACAGCATGTGACCAAGGAAAAATCTGAATGTAGCAGTCCAATAATCCTCCAAGTGAAAAATAGGTGTTACACCATTTTTTAAAAAAGTGCTATTAAATGTGTAAGTACAAGAAGCCAGACACAAGCAATTCCCTGTAATCCCCATCCTGAGCTTGGTCTTGACAAGGCACTGATGTGAATAAAGCACCACATTCTGTTTGGGCAACTAAACTAAGCGTGAAGCTGAGAAACAAAATAGCAGTGAAAATTATTAGGCCCTTGGAAAACAAGAGCTATGAAGAATGGTTTAAGTAGGTGGGATTATCAGTGAAATAAAAACACCAGGGGGATGACTTCATTGCAGGGAAGGTGACCAGCTGTTCTTTCTCCACTACATGCCAAACAAAAGGCTGGTTTGAATTTCTGTAAGGAAGACTCACAAAGAACTATCTGATCAGCAGTGTAGGTTATAGAATCTCCTTTGCTGAAAATCCAGAATCCCATCCACAGCCATATGTCTACAATAATTCAGAGACAGCCCGGTCTGATGCCAGAGCAGAATATGCTAGATAATCCAAACTTTCTCCAAGGCCCCAAACTCTGAAATCACAATCAAAGCTATTGGCTTACAGTCATACTTCCTTTTGTTTATTTTTACCCTGAGCCTGAAGAGGAGATAATATAGCCAGGCTGACCCAACACCCCATAGGGAGTCCTAACTGATATCTCACTATCAGGAAAAACTTCCCTCCAGAAATGGTTTCATACCTCTGAAACAGTCAATTCACAGATCATTGGAAATGCAAAACATTGTAACTACCTGGCTGGGGCAAGCACTTGAGACATTCCTTGCCCTACACCTCACAATGCCTACTTTCCTTATGACTTGGGCTATGCTCAGAATTACACATCATCTAAAAAATTATTGAGCCAAAAGCTAAAACTATAAATAAGGTCTTCTAGATTCTGGAACTTAAGAGAAATCATTCCAAGTGTCATATTTTTTCATTGGGAAACAAATTGAGTTTGAAATGAATAATTGGCTTGCCTTTCTGTTGACACCCCAAAATGTAAAGAAATAATCAAAACAGTTAAAATATATTGACAATCATATTGATTTCCTTGGGGGAGCAGGCAGAAAGACACACTCCAGCTACTGGCTGCATTTAGTAAGAGCAATTTCTGGTGGCATCAAACTGTCTATAATTACTATGGATGACTTTCATTTCAAATCTTATAAAGGAGAGGTGGTAAATAGGCAGCTCATGGGTCAAATCAGGTCCACCCAAGGTTCCATAGGGCCTGCATTCACTTAAAAAATTTTTCATTTAGTTGCCGATATTTTAAAAATCAGAATTTTTCATAAGAATCAAGATTCTTAGTTTCTCTTGAAAAACATATCAATGCATGGCCACAACTGGCTGGAGCAGGAGAGCTTCAATTTGCTACAGTCCCCACTATTCCCTATAGTCTCTCGGACACTGAGAAGACAAATCATTGCCATGTATCATCCATCATACAGCTGTTTTACTTACACCTGGTCTGTGACATTGGTGCCCCCTATAGGCATAACATCTACCAAACAAGAGCAACAGTCTTTACATACATACCAACTGAAATAGGTTAACAACCTTCACATTGGAATTTTCCACCTCTCTCCAATAAAGACAGAGAGAGTAATTCCAGTCTCCTTAAGAGAGCCAAATTAAGTGGTTGAGGACTGTCGGGCTGTCTTTCTTTTGGAACGAGGATGTGTCGTTTCTTCTCCAGGAATAAAATCATTTCCCTTCCCCTCTGCCTTTGCTCCTTTTAAAGGAAAAGCTCAACTCTGAAAAAAGGAAAAGTTCTGAAAATTACACAATCCCACATTTCTGGAGGGATGGTCCTATTTATTGGCACTTAAGTCAGGGAGGCTGAGGTTAGGTGTTGATTTAAAAAAGAACACACATTTGCAACTGTGAAGTAGCAAGACTGATCTTTGCAAAACATCCATCGCTCACTATATATTAATTCCAAAGATGTCATCAATGTGAAAGACATTTTTCTAAACATCTGATCAGGGACTGTCCTCAGTTATTGCTAACAAGTCAGCCAAAAACCCTGCCTCATGACTTCATGGCCCCATCTCATTTTTGGTTCCAAATATTGTTACCTGCTTATGTCACCCACCTGTCACCCGAGCCTGAATGACTTCTGATTTCTTTCTAGAGATCAGTGTGCGTCAAGCCAGGAATCAACCTTCTGGAATCTCATCTGCCCGGTGTGGTTGGGCTAGGTCTATTGCTTCCAGTTATTCTCTGAGTGGAAATCACCCCTTCACGTGGGCTTTCACTTCTCTCATCAGTCTCCTGGCAGAATGTCAGCTGCTAAATCCCTCCTGCAGGGCACTGGTGAGTTAAGATGAACAAGTAGCTCTCCACTTTCAACTATCCAGGCCCTCCCTTGGCCCCCTGTCCAGAGGACATCATCTAACTTAGCCACAAATCATCTGGTCTACTCATGGAATCAAGGCCTTTCATTGTGTTTATCCCTATATTCTTCTTTCTCTAATGTCTAAAAGCCTGGGACTTGGCAGGTCCTTTATCTGAATTCCTTCTTATCATTTCCACTGTCCAGGAAACTGTGTGAGTCAAAATATGTAGCTCTGCCAGATGTTTGGCCTTAGTCTGCAATACACCCATTCCCATTTCCCATGATGAGATGGGAAGTAAAACAAACAGGCAAAACTAGGAAGGCAAAAGCAGGAAGTTGGATTTCTCAACTTATTCTGAGTTAGACACTCACACTGTGGCTTTATTACTTGGTATGTTGAAGAGTTTGATTTTGTTGAACATCAGAAACATCCGTATTTCAATATAAGTATCCAAACCCTAACTCCAGACTAAAACATCACCTGATCTTTGAACCAGGACATTTGTTCCCTTCCATGTTCATAACCAGTGAGTTCATTCAGCAAGCCTTCGCGCAAGCTCACAGAGCTGGTGGGTGCTCCCACTGCCCCCCCTCCTCCATGCCGTCCTGGAGCTACTTTGTCAGATGCCTTATTTTACATGAAAAGCTAAATAGCCATCCTAAAAATAGCTGCTACTGGTTTCTTTGAGACAAGGACCATTTCTTGGCCTCAAGAAGAAATCTCTGATGATGTTCCAAAGTGACTTTCCGTATGTCAGCAAGTCTGCACTGACCACTCTCCTTCACAGCACACATACCAAGGACGGAGCAGCAGCAGGTCGCGTGTGGGCAGTTCTGTGCTCGTTCTGGAGTCCATGGCGACAACATGGAACGTCTCTTCGACAAGTCGCCTGGGTTTCTGGGGGAGACCATTCTGCAGCTCATGTGTCCCCCAACCCCCCATGGCAGCTGCAGGAAACTTGATGCCAGAGAACAGACGAGCACGTTCTTTTCTCAAGAAGCTACCAGCTGCCTCTATGAACACGGAGTGTGGCATCTCCATCAAAAATACATACGAACCTCTTCCTTCCAACTAGGATGCAAAATGCCCCTTCCCCATTGCCCCAGCATGTGCTTAGAAGGAAAAATGCTGCCCCATCCCACCCTTTTCTCGGGATGTTTCTCAGGGTTTCCTGTCATGCTGGTCCTATTTTTGGTTATGAAAACCACAGTCCCCAGTGTGAGTGCTGGAAAAAGAGAGTGCCAAAATCCAACAGCACCCACAAGACAGGTGGAGGAAGATGCTTATACCCCCAGGGCCCAGGTGGGGGACAATTCCCCTGAACAAGGTCAGACAGCTTTACACACATACCAACTGACAGATGTGATCTGAGTGGTTTTCCTATTGGAAACAAATTCTGTAGAGAAGTCACTGGTAAAAACAAGACATTATTTCCTCCATTTTAAAGCAAATTCTCTCCTGTTAAAGTCTAAATGCCTATGTCGGTAGGATGGAGCACCAGAGACAACTCTTTCATTGGGTAAGGAATATAGAAACACAAAGTGAAACACGATTCACAGACTGGGGTGCGGGTAGAGTGCTTTGAGATTTAAGAATATACTGATTTCAGGTCCATGTCTTCTTTAAATAATATTCAAAGAGCACATTCATCCTTGCCCCTTCTTTTCAACTTCTTAAAATGAGGTCCACCATCAGTCGAACCAGTTCAGCAGGTTAACTGGCTATCACCTCCACACACTGCCATATTTCAGTGGATTCTGATCCCCAATATTTTGGATACAGCTTTAGACCAGTGACCAACTGAAGTATGAACTGCAACTTCCAGTAATACGGCCCAATTGGGCATCTGTCTCTTAATGAACTTCCGGGCACCAACATCTGAGGGTACAGTGCAGTAAACGTAACCTAGGGGAACCTGGCAGGCAGATCAGCTCCTCCTACACCCCCATGATACCTACTCAAATCAAGAGGAGGCCTTGGCTGCAGAGCTCTGGTGCTTCTACACACTGGCCAACCCATCTCAGCAAGAATGGTCACGATGGTCAGCTGGCTCTGAGGCCCCCACCTCAGCCAGCTCTGCCACCTACTATGACAGAGAGACTAGTTTTACAAAAGGCAATTACATCTTCAGTCACCCTCTTGATCTTTGACTCACAGCTTTTTTAACCATGGCATCGTAAGTCTTATGCCCCAAATGGACAGAACCATCACCTGTAATGATACGGATTACAGACAGACTGGCACTTGATTTCTGTGGCTGTTTTGGCATTGAAAGTGCTTTTTCTTCAAAGCATTTGAAATCAAAGTAGCCACCAGCAATCAGGCAAAGTTAGTAGAGATAAATTAAATTCTGAATGATCAGTGTAGGTATTTTTCTGCTTCATGTTACACAATTCTGCCCCATCTCCTAGAATTGGCTCTAATCCAAGGACTGACCTAACATGGCAAGATGTTATCAGACCTTATGGACAAGTCTTTCCGAACTCCATCTGGTTTAAGAAGATTGAAGGCTTTGCCAAGATACCTGGCAGAGGGTGGGCGCAAGGGGAGCAAGTACTGGCCCAAATTTCACTCTGAATATCCTTGTAGGAGACCTCAGCTCCAAGTGGGTCACACACCAGAGAGATGAGCTGAGAACCAGAGAGAGGCAGTAGCTAAAGTGGCAATGCTTAGTTGCTTCTGTTTTGTTACAAAGGGGCGACTGTGTGGAGTTCATCAGTGTAGCTGAGGCAACCAGGTTCTGCTTTGCAAGCCCCAGAGACGAGGAGCTTGGAAGGAAGGGCAGGAGGGTCCTCCTCACCTAGGGAAAGAAGAGAGGGTAGAGCCACATGTCAATGTACTTCACTAGGCCAGGTGCCAGGCCCACCTGTGGCTGGATCTGGATCTGAACTACCAGCTTGGCCGGGTGAGGCAGATATCCTAACCAGCTCAAGACAGAATACTCTCAGGCTGCTAACAGGTGCTAGTTCCCTTAGCTGAGAGTCAAGGGTATGCATGCATGGCTAACAAGAGGAGGCACCCTACTGAGCCCCCTGGGGAGGCAGGGCCCTCCTACAGAGCCCTCCTTCCAGGGCCTGTGCTGAATTATGACAGGAGAATACTGTGCCCTGTGAACCCCACATTCAATAAATGTGGCTTTAAAGGCACTGAGAGGGTGGAGGCCATACAAATCCCAACAGAGATTCAGGAACACAGAGCTTCATCCAATACCTGGGGCCTGATGTGTTGGAATTTGGGTTTTTATTAGCGTTTTGGTTGGGATGTTTACAGTTTAGAAATGTACCTATAATGCACATATTGTATGTTACATAATGTCCCAAATGGGGGCTGGGCAGCTCACCATAATCTGGCATTAGTATTTCTGCAGCTCACACAAATATTCCCACTACGTAGGATAAACCGAAACTCTCAAAGGAGCTGTGTTACGTCTCATAACGTTTTACTGCAATTTAAGGCTATACCAAAATCAGGAAAACACTTTCACAGATTTTGGAATTATGAACAAAGGCTCAGCCCATGCCAGGAACCCACCCCAATGGCACTCAGCTCCCCGGTGCCTTACCCAGGCCTGAAGAGGATGACACGCTTTCAGTCAGGGAAGACGTCTCTGTTTGGTCTGTAAAGAGTCCTTCCATCAGGGGTAGGGACAGCTCAGAAGAAGGCACAGAGGAGTCGTAGATGCCCGAGTCCCGCGGCATGTCTGAGGCACTGACGGCTTTCACCGTGTGCAGCAGAGGCTGCAGGACAGAGCTGCCTTCTGGGCTGGGTCGGGCTTCCGTGTCTTCGTCCAGACCTAACTGCCCACCCTCTGAGTACACGTCGGCCGAGGCCCTAGGGACAGCCACCTCGGTCTTTAGGCAGAAATCACTCTCAGTTCCTGGTTTGCACATGACATCGTTTAAAACCAAGCCTGAGTCAAACTTCTCCAGGACTGGCTCCCGGTAGCGAGGCGGGGTAGGATGAAAGGGAACAAACTGTTTCTCAAACCAGTCAGGTTCCTCGTCGATAAACTGGTGCATGTTACAAATGGCGACGTAAAGGGACCGGCCTGATTTGCTCCGGAAGTAGTTCCTCCTGCTGACATGGCCAGGGTACTGTCCCTGCTCCGGGAGGCCGGGGTCTCTGGAGTGTAGGTGGGAACAGAGCTGGGGAAGGTTGTCCATGAGCTTGTACTTGGTGCTCAGGTCCAGGATGCCGGGGATGTCTCCCTCACAGGAATAATCAAAGTAGACAGCGATGAACTTGCTGAGTGTCGCTGACGAGCTCTGCTTGGCTTGACGCAGCTTTTCGGCGATGGCAGCCACGGCCACCAGAAAGAGCTCCCCTTTCCCAGAGCCTTGGCTGCCACCTTTGTGCTTGGAGTTCTTCTTGTCCACAAAGTACTTCATGCCTTTGGAACACACCACAATGATGAATTGGGACTCATGGATCTTCTGGATGACCCATTCCCTCTGCCCTTCTCTGCAGAGACCAAAGTCTTCCCATAGGTCTAGAGTCACCTGAAAGAGAACATGGGACCTCACTCACCGCACAGCCTGGAGAGTCAAGTAACAAGAACGAGGATGTTTCAAAAAGGGGACGTCATCTGTGCAAAAATCATTATTAGCACTCCTGTGTGCAGACTCTGGGTACCTGGCCCTGAGGAACATCTAACATTCTGCAGGTGACAGTCACATACCAGGTCTCTGCAAAATATCCTCATTTTAGCATCAAAAGGGGTCTTGACACATACCCCCACTTATAAGTGAAGGGAGGAAAGCGCAGAGCTTGTAGCCACCTGCCAGAGTCATATGTCACATCGACCTCACATGCTCAGGGACCTGGAGTGTGGTGAGCGCCCGGAGAATGGAGGCACTGGAGTCGGTCTAGCTAATGAGTGAGGCTCCCTGGATTGGGGGGGGGGGAGGGTTGCTGGGGGAGGCAGATATTGGAGAGAAAGTTGGAAGGCAGTGATGGAGGTACCTGGGTGAGGGGCCCCCAAAGCAAACTCTAAAAATGGGGCTCAAACATTGATGCCAGAGAGACGCAGAATGCTGGATGACTTAAATCCAAGGAATGTGACTGACAAGGAGGTCCTCTGGGGAGACTCACATGGCCCTGGAGTCAGCCATGCTGCTTAGCAATTGGTCAATAGCTGCAGAGAAGGGCTGCGAACTGCAGTGACATGGTCATTACAGTTAACTCACTGGGGAGTGACCAGCACCTCCTGTCATGACTTCATAGTGGTCTTCTATATACATACAGCGCCTTTAACCCCAAGGGGGTGCAAGGGTGGAATTTGGGCAGCAGTGTGGGCACTGACCCAGGAAAGGAAAAGAGGACGTGTAGCCCCCTCAGAGGGCTTTACTTTCTTAGACCATTTTCATCTGCTTCTGCTGAAAATACCTCTTGGTGATTATGTCTTCTTTTCTTCTGTAATTCATAAGTATATCCCAAAGGTTATGTCCAAATGTGGCAGACACAGTCCCTAAGGGAAAGTGACTCTGAAATGACTTTGTTTTCCTCTTCTGCTCACCTGTGACCAAAGGGAACAAAGTCCCCAAGATCCATCCAGTTGCTGAGAATAACCCTTGGCTGTCCTACATTGTCTCCAATTCTTGATAACGTGTTACAATCTAAAAGCTAAGTGAAGGTATTATTTAAAAAAAAGTTTCTATCTTTGAATTAGCGATTCCATCTCCAGGCACCTATCTTTGGAAAGTCATCAGATCTTGAACTACTGAGATGTTTAACAATATGAAATGTCCTCAATTATGATGCATCAATATCATGGATCATGTGGTTATTTAAAATTGCAGTTTACAGCAAGCAAGCTATAAATCAGAGACATATGGTAGGGGAGGGGAGAGAGTGGGCTCAAAACAGGGGAGGGGAGAGCAAAAGAGACTATGGTGATGGTTCACGGGTGACTTGGTGTTGGGAACTTTATGGGGATTACACCTGAGAGGAGAAATCAAACATGGCACAAAAATGAACAATAATGTAAAATACATACATATAAATATATTAAATAAGTAAATAAAATAAATTGCAGTTTATACAGAGCTGACAGAGTAAAAAAATTATTAAAACAAGGAGACAGAAAAAATCAACTCCCCCAAAATGCAAAACCATAGTATGAGTTCATCTCTGCAGAAAAAGACTGGAAGGAAACACACCAAATATTAACTATGGTTGCCCTTTTCTCCAGGTTGGTATTATAGACCATTATCTACCATCCCTTTCTAGCTTCCGAATTTCCTACAGTACTCATATTTGGAAGATTTCTTCCCCCGAAGGCTAGTTATTTAGAAAGCAGAGCAAACTAGGTTGTGTTTATCTGAGACAGACTGTTCCCTGGCTACAGTCTGCAGGTGTTTTCCAGCACACTTGCTGATCTGCCTATCTCCACCTTCAAGTCCTAAGAAACCACATCATCCTTGTAAATGTGTCTTTTTTACTCTAGGGGGCAGTCTCACCATGTGGAGAGATTTTGAGAATCCTACTAACAGGCACAGACAAGTTGCCACTACACAATTCTTGAATTCTTGCATTTTGTAAGGAACAGTGTGTCTTCTGTGAGGACTTCAGGCTTCACTCTCAAGCTAACATTATGGTATTATAAAGAAGCTATCTATTAATAACAACAGAAAAGGAAAGAAACAAGAGCAAACCATTTAAGCACTATTATTTTCCCTTCTTAGCAAAGCTCCCCAAAGAATTGTTTAGACCCACAGTTTTGTCATTCTCTCCTTGGCCAACCCCAAGGCTCGCCAGGATGCCTTGAGTGACCACCCACCCCATCCCCATTCCATCCTCTGCACCATCCCAAGGTAGTATTTTTAATACTTATAAAACTGCCTGCTGCGTGGGTTTCAGTCAGGCGTTTAAGCAGCAGTGTGGCAGAGTTAGAACCGAGTGTTAGGACCTATCTGATGCTCACAATGGGTAGGACAGACTGAATGAAGAGTGAGGCTGAAGAAGGTGGTCAAGGTGCCCCCAAAGGCGGCCAGAGGAGAGCAGGCTAGGAGCTCATCTCAGGGTATGAGAGGAGCTGTTAGATCTCTCACCTCACAGCCACAGAAGTCCTGGAGGAAGTAGGCGAAACACTGAATGACATTCATGTGGTTCTGGCCATCTTTACTGGAGTAGCAGAGGAAGACCTTGGGCCGCGGCCGCAGTCGCTCTCTGGGGAGCGCCGCGGTGTACATGGAAGACTCGGAGCTCTCTTCATCTAAATGTGAATATATATTTTCTAAATTGGAAAAGAAGACAGGGTTGGTACCTGTGAGTAATGCTTCATTCTGCTCCCTAAGACTTGGGAGGACAGACATGAACTCCTCTATCACTCCCAGTTCCCCAGCCCTTGGGTCACCCTTGGGACATCCTTGGGACAGTGAGTTTCTCCAGTGGAGCAACAAATGGTCAAAATCTGCCTTCACCTGAAACTGACCTGGAGCAAGCCAAGAACACTGCACAGCCCACCCCCATCAGCAGAGAGCAACCAGAACCAGCTCTGGTGACCAAACACAACCATTAGATCAATTAACATGGGCAGAGCTGACCCTTTTGAGCTATAATTCAAAAAGGCAAAGTGCTATTAAGAATAGATTCTCAATAAATTTTAATCTAAGTATACACCTGTGTATCTGCCACCCACATGAAGATATGGAACATTTTCCTGTCCCCAGAAGGTCCCCTCCCCACATCTGACTTTCATAAGTTATCAAGTCCTACCTCTACCCTACTCATACCTTTAGATTTCCTTTCTGCTCTTGAATTCACTATCCCAAGTCTGGGACTAGAATGAAGCCTGTCCTTTTTATGGCTCTGGAGGTTAAAGTCAAGTATTTTAACTCTGGAAACTGCAGTAGCCAGGGGACTGACCGCAGGAGCCCAGGGGACTGACTGCAGCAGCCCAGGCTCCCTCTGTTGGCAGCAGCTCAACCCTGTGCCTTGGGGGGCCGGCTGGGGAACAACACACAAAGAGGCACCTTGTTGCTTCTTGCGGCACATCACAGTGAAGAGCGTTGCGAATGCGGATATGACGACCAGTGGCACCGTGATGGCGACAGCTCTGATGGGCCCAGCCCATGGGGAATGTACTGGGAAATTTCAAAGGGAAGGCTTTTAAACTTAAGCAGCATAACAGGTTCAAAGAGACATAATTTTATTTTCCTTCTTCAACCTAACCCACAGAACAGGTTCTAGGACCCCTTGACCACCTTTCCCTAGTACTGGCTTGGCAATTATAAAAGGATTCATTTTAAAGGATTGTAGGGAACAATTCCACAGTTAGAGTCTGCTGGGAAGGTAAATACCTTTGAGTGAGAATTTTGCCTAAGGAAACCTCCCCACCCACCACTTTTCTTCCGAGGACAATTGACTATTTATTTAGCCCCCTCCACACACACCACACACTGGCTTTGATCTTCCAGGCATCAACATTAGGGGGGAGGAAAGTCAGGTCTGCTGGAACATCATTTAAGGGAGAGGAGCTCAAGTTTTGCCGTGCTTTGTTTGCACAAACCATGAAGCACAGAAAGTATCAAATATCTTGGTTTGCTGTAGTCCAGAGCCAGCAATTCAAACAAAAAAATCCTTACCTGGCTTTAAGGCATAATGCATCACTTTTCTTGTTGTATTAGAATCATCCACTAGCTGCAAAACAGAGGATTCTGTGTTGTATTTTTTTTTTTTTAAGTGATAGCATCTCAACAGATTTTATTCATCTTCCCATCTGTGGGCAGTGGGGGCAGAAGGAAGGAGAGCTGCTGGTGCCTGTGACCCCAGACACATCCCTGTGGGTCACAGCTTGCTGCTACCACCTCACAACTTAGCTCTGACATGTTTCATGAATCTACAAGTGATTTTACTTACTGATTAATTCAACTAGTAAGTTTCACATTCTAACAATTTTCAATTATAATGGCATCCTACCACTGATTTTCCTGGGCCTCCATGGATGCTTTGAGAAGATACACCGGTTCAAAGCCATAGACTGCAATTGAGTAATGCAAGAACTAGGTGTTTCTACCAAATTAAGACATGTTGGTTCTCTATGAGTAGTAGGGGTTCTGGACAAATTTTTAATTTCCCCTTCTATTTTTCACTTTCTTTGATTTATTTGTAGTATTAATTTGATACTAGAAGAGTAAGACAAGAAAAATGTTCTTTTAAGAGGTATTTAAAACCAGGTATATTTATACAGGATATCAGCAGAAACCTAGAGGAGTATAAGCAGATGTAACAGGCACAACTTTTGCTTTGATATTTTATTAATAAAACAAAACTTTTTAATGCTAAACTTATATACTTAACATCTATCACTGAAGGGGTACTCCACAGAATTTTTTTTGTCAAGGTTATGTGGGTTATGTGGATACATAAGACAATTTGAAATACTTAATGAAAAAAAAACACTGAAGCTTAATTATATGTAAACTTTTAAAAAGCATGTTGAAAACCATGCAAAATTATAACTGTACACTCTTTCAATGGTTGAAATCTTAGTGCTAAGATTCCTAAACAGTAGGAATTCTACATGAACTGGAATCACACTGTAGAATTAATAATAGGTCATTCTTGAGTTATACACACCTCAATTATATAATCCCCCGGAGAAACATTTTGAAGGAGGCAGCTGGTTGTCTCTGTATTTTGTTCCTGCAAAGAAACAAAATGTTAACAATCTACTTCTTGGTTAATCATCATCAGAACCCCTCTTTCCTTGCCCCAGATTTAAAGGACACTTGCCACCAGTCTTGGTCAGTTTTTAGGAGATATCAAACAACCAGATCAGAAAGCTACTGTGTCTATCCGCCATGTTATCTAAACTTCGCTTTGATAAAAGGCACAGGACAGCCTATATATACCTATGCCTAACTGGTGGGTCCTCGGCAGGAATATCTGATATAAAGACAAAGAAATTAGTTAGCATTCCCTTTACCTTAAAAAATGATAGGGAAATTACCCCTCTGTGTTTGTGCATATTTTATTTACCATTATTGTAACATGAGCAGAAGATTAAAGGTCAGTGACAAGAGATGAGGGCAGTAGGAAAGCAAAACTATGAGAGACCCCATATCCAGGGCTGTGCTGGGTTCTGCTTTTATGGCAATTTTCCCAGAGAAATCAGGAGGCACTCAAAAAGGTGGAGAGAGAGATTTAATCATCACACCGGCGGGCCTAGTGGGATAGCTCCCAAAAGTCTGAGCTCTGAAGAGCAGAAATGGCAGGGTTTTTATACAGTTTATATGCAGAAGCTTGTCACCCCATCTATCACAGACTTTCTTTGTTGTTTGGGAAGGGGGTCAAGGTAGCCGAGGCTACTACTGTAGGCAAGCAGCACACCCACAACTTTCCACTCCAGCAAGCAGCAGAATCCAAGTAGCAGACTCCAAGCAGTAGACTTAGCAACTTGCTGCTTCACTGCCACAACCAAAAGCCTTTCTTGGTACTCATGTGGTGCAATCCTATGACCTCAATGTAATCTCTGCCACTCCTTCTCACTGAAGAACTCAATTTACTACGTTACCATCTAACCATGGTGTAGGTGTAGAATCAGCAGCCACTAGAATGCCAGACTTAGCTTCTCAATAGGGTTTTTCCACTTATTAACTATGTAACCTTGAGCAGGTGACTTCCCTGAGCCTCAAGCTCCATCTGTAAAGTGGTGGCGGTGGGGGGGGAATAGCAACCTGTCCCATAAAGTTATAGTAAGGATTCAATGAGCACAAAGCTTGATTATAGGTACACAGTAAGCACATGGTTAATGTTTTAAATACAGAAGAACAAACTAGAAATGCTGAATCTTTTGTTTTTTTGTAATACTTTTACTAGATGAGGTCACCACTGGGACAGCTGAGGTATAGATAATTGGGGAGTGAGAGATGATGGCAAAATGAGCCTAAGACATACCCAGTGGAAACATTCTGGAATATCTACCGAATGCTCAAAGTCCAATGTTCATGTTGAACTATCCAAATTCCAGGGCCCATGTTTCACTTTAAAAACTACAGTGTTCCTTTATGATGCCTGGCAGCTCACCTGTTTACAGGCCTTCCGTTTGAAGGGTCCTTCATGCTTGAGTTTGTAATGAACATAGAAGAAACGGAAGCCAAAGTTGTGTGGTGCGTGGTCGAAGGACACCTGCATATCTGGACCGTGCTGGGTGATGTTCAGGTTGCGAGGTTTCCAGACTAGGAGAAGGAAGGACCATGTTAGCTCCCAGAGGCTGCCCTGACACTTCAACAGCAGCAACACTCTGACACACGACAAGTAAGTACAGTTATACTTACAGGGTTTACAGGCCAGGTTGTCTGGCTGTAACAGCAGGTCACAGGCTATTAAGAGAGAGGCATACTTTTAGTGTTAGGCGAGTTTTCTTTGTCCATTGACTCAATAAAATATAAATATACTGTACTGGGTGCTGCTGGGGAGACTATAAAATACATCAAGACAACAATGGCTTCAGTACAGTGCACTTACATGTAAATCATATGGCATAAAAATATTAGTGCAGTTCACTTTATGCCAATAAATGGAAACTGTAAAGTCACCCAGATTTTAAAAGCTTGTCAAGCGCTACACAGTTTCACGGCCGGTTGCCAATGGCAGGAGGACCATGTTCAGGTGCTACTGCTGCAGGGAGGTTGTTTCGGCTGTAAACAGAAACAGCGCCAGCCCTGCCCCTTTGTGGGGATAAGTTTAGGCCCAAGAGAACATCAGATTGATCCTGGCAGCTGTCTCAGGATTGTTTTGCCTTCACCAGAATCCTGATTGGGAGTCCTCTGGATGGAGTCTAAAAAATGACATCCATGCATCTACTAAGTAGTAGCATCAGTGCTGAAAACCTGGCACCAAAGCCAGTAGCATTCAAACAGGATTTAAATGTGATAAAAACTTGAGAGAGGCCAAAGTGCTAATCCAGTTGCCATGCTGCTACCCAGGAAGAAGCCTCTGGAAAATGTCTCTAAGTGTCAAGGAAATCAAAGGCATCATGAAGGTCACAGTGTACAACTGATGATAAACGATTCTCCTGCCTCTGCCTTATCCCCAGATACACACATCAATCCTTGTGGGAAAAACTAATCTCAAATTACGCTAGATTGGATTTAGGTGAGCTTTTTATAAACACATTTTTCAAATCCTCTATCTGGTTGTTATGTGTAAGGTATCAGGAGATGTTGTAAAGTGCACATGATCTCTGCCTCATGGAATCATATTTTAATTGAGATAATGAGACTGATTATTATAAAGGAACTCTGCTGCATAGAAAACAACTACTGTTAAAAGAATAGAAAAAGAAAAAGAAAAATCAAGTCAAGAATTCTACAAACATTGATGTAGGCTGGAGTTGAGAACAAATACATGACAGAGGACGAGGACAGCAAGCAGACCACACCGGAGCTTATATCAACAGGACTGATGACTGACTGATTATCAGGACTGATGATCCAAGGCCCAGAATGCCAGACAGTAAAGACCTAACAGGAGGCAAAATGGACCTGCCGCAGATTTTAGGGTGCCTGGCTGAATTTGAAAGCAGTGATTCAGGTTAGTGAAAGACACTGCATACTGTGTGCAAAACATGGAAAAGGGAACCCAAAGGGTTGGGAGTTTGAGAGTGTAGACTTCTTTCTAGGGTTCAAATCCCAGCTCGCAGCAAGCCCTGGCACCTCTCTGTGTGTGATTCCACTTCTTATAAGTAGGGATGGTAAGAATAAATTCTTTGTAGGGGGTACAAAGTAAACTGAGTTACTATTTGGGAAGCATTGAGAACAAGATCTGGGACACAGATATTAAATAAGCTAAGCAATTATCTAGAAGGAGATGGTCTCAGGGACACTGCTTAATTTTCTTAATCAACTTCTAAACAAACACAGGCAATCAGTCACTCAGAGGTCACTCTCCTGATGATGGACCAAACATGGAAACACCTTCACACTCTATCCCTTATCCCCAAGCCAATTTATACCTTTCATTCCTGCCTTTGTTTTTTCCTTTTTAATCAAACTTTTAATACATGGCTGCCTTTCAGCACCTTAAAAAATAAATCAACAGCCATGTCTACTCTACTGTAGAGCAGGAATAGTGCTCTGGAAAGATGAATACTGGCTGGGCCAAATCTTAATTCAAAAATTGCATTTTTGCATACATTTTTCTGGATGCTTTTCTCCTCATCACGCATACTTCATAACAGTACTACTGTGCTCTTCAACACATCTGTCTAAAAGTGTCTACAAGCAGAAGTCTGGCTCTTTGTGGGAACCAGACAGGAAAGACCATACTTACTGCGGGTTCTGAAGAAAAAGGGGTGGTAATTGCTTTCATTTTTAATGGAAGGAAAAGGGACAATCTTAACAAAGTAATCCGTCTCAAATTTCATATTCAGGAAAGGTTGAGATTCCATTCCCTACAAGGCAATAAAAAAACGCATGTGACAACGTCATAGAGACGTGGCCCATCCCGCCACCCAACACAGGAGACCATCAGCCCTCCCTGACACGTTTCCAGAGCTGGGGCACGTGTCCCTGAGAAGGAGGAAGTCAGGCCTATTTTGTGGACCAAATTTGGGTTTGGATCCCTAACGAAAAATGAAGATCAATAATGCCGCCCATTCTTTGGCAAGGAAGCCGTGGCTTCAAAGCTGGTGGGAAGGAGCCCACTTACACTCCTGCAAGCACAAAGCCACCTTCCAGGATGCGTAACCCGAGAGGTGTGTTTACCGGCAAGAGGTGCCGGAGAGTTTGGGAGTGCGGAGCAGGCTGGTGGTGTTGCCTGCCGCTCTCGGCCCACCTTGGCAGGCAGGGTGGACCCCACAGCCCCTCCTTCTCCAGTTTCACAGGCTTTCAATAGACCATTCAGATGCCGGAACAATGGCGAGTCTTCAGGAGCACATTCCCCGCGTGTGACTTACAGTTCTTTTGAAGCTACTGTTGAGCTGCTTTGGGTCCTTTAGAATCAGTTGTTGGCACTGTCTTCCCTCCGACTTCAGCTCCTCCAGTATTACCCGAAATCCCTTTAGGAATTCGATGCCTAAGCAAAGCATAATGCTTTTATTAAAAGTGGACCTAATTACTTTTGAACACACTTTCCTTCCTCCAAGATTATCGTCCTCTTCACCTACACAACAGAGTTAAAAGCATTCTTACTCTGGCTGGAATATGAGTTTACAAAAAGGAAAACCCAGCATTCCTCTGGTACGGGCCAGGTGGTTTTTTGAACCATTATTACTTATTCATTAATCTCTAATCCAGCCAACCATTTCACAAATGCCTACTGGCGCTGTGACATTAGGTTCAAACACTGAGAGTCAAGTCACAACTGAGCATGAAAGTCTGCAGTGGAATATATAACCTCTGGGTCATTAAACAAGGTATACTCGCGTCAGTAATTACCAATGCTGACCAGGGACTCCTCCCAAATCATGTTTCCACTTTAAGTTTTAGTCCTGTATTTGTTGGCATGTTTCACTGAACAATGTATAAAATTCCCAACAAAGTGTATGTCTGCACCCAAGGGGTGCCTAGGCATGAGATTAAATAGCTTAGGAGAATGCCTATGTGATTTACAAAGCGGTTCTCGCCCTAATCACGCCTGAAAGGCAGACACCCAAGAGCTGCCCAGTGTGTGCTCTGCATACAGCGCTCAGAGCCCCAAGACGCCCACAGTGCCACTGAAAGGCGCCGGCCCAGCCTCCCGCCACCTGAGCTTCCCCCCTGCACGTCCGACTAGATGCTTTCAAAAGGATTAAGCTCTGATGGCCACTGAGCCAGTACTGGGGCTCTGTATCCCAGGGAGACTGAAGTGGTCCAGCTGCAGCTGGAGATCCCCAAAGCCGGCCTCAATTGGCGTGATATCGATTTCGCATTCTTTCTGAACTCTAGACAAGGAGACATTTTCAAACCTTCCCCTCCCAGGGCAAAAGTAATTACACAGGATGCAATTAACCAGGTGGGAAAATTATTGATGGCAAAGGCCAGGGAAATCTCTTTTCTCTTTCGAATAGGTTTTCCAATCCTATAATTATTTGAAGAGCACATATTTTCTGGTGGGTAGGGCAGACAAACTACAATTAGAGCTTCACGTTTTAGAGGGTCAGAAGATTAAGTGTACAGGTACTGACTCTGTCATGTTATGCTTCAAGTACCAAGCCTCTGTGGGGGAAAAGCCAGCTGACCCACAGTCTGAGATTCCAACATGCTGACAAAATCCAAGGCCTTTTGACTGCAAACTATTTAGTAACTATCACAGGAACTTGCCTTTGGAGATCCAAAAACAAACAAAAAGTGAACAAACATTTATTATTTATACTAAGATTTAATGCATGCAATGTTTGAGACCTTGTGTTTTAATGAGATTGGTAATAAGTATGATTTAAAGACTCTGCATCTCATAATTATATAAAAATTCATCATCAGGGCCTGTGGGACTGGGTGGCTCTAGTCCTATGGTTTTTTAAAGATCAACCTCAAAATCCACCACATGCCAAGCCTGGAGGAGGTGGCTGAGGCAGCAAATATAAGTATCATCACACTAACACCTTTATAATGGTATCATTAATGCGCAATAATTACTTTCCCATCATTCAATCTTCCTAACAACCATAGAAGGAAGGTATTATTCAGCCCACTTTACAGATGAGGAAACTTAGTTGTAGGGACACTGAATGTCTTATCCCAGGTCACACAGGAACTAAATGACAGAGGTGGGACTCAAACCCAGAAGCAACAATCTCTAAGCTTCTAACCCATATGCTCTTCTGTCTCCCAAGAAGCTGCCTTGACAGAATATGATAGAACTTCACAGAAACTGATAGAACCTGTCCAGCCACCCCCACCCAGGAAAAACACAACTTAGCCCACACTATTCCATGTTCGTTTTCCTACCAGCAGGTCATATTACTTACTTTCATTCTATAAAGAGGGAGCCAACAATTCATCAAGCCAAACCCTTACGCATTTAGCCCTAAATGGAATGACCACTTCCCTTTTATCTCAGAGTATTTCTTTATCTTTGAATGTTAAGATAATATTATTCTTGGAAAAACCACTGGGTTCAGACCCAGAAGTACTTATTCAGTGAGCCAGGCCCATGGGTCTGATCTGTCCTCCCTCTCGCTGCACTCACCTTGCCTGTACACTGGTTCTTCCAAGATTTTTAAAATCTTCTGAGCCTAGGTGTCAAAGGAGCAGGCCTGAGGCCCAGGTTCTGGTGGTAACAACAGGCATTACTTTAAGAGTGTTCTCTAGAAATAGAAGGTATGTGTGTGATTCTTATTACAAACCAGGAGGCAGTTATCTGTACTTTACACGTGGGGAAGCAGGGGCTCAGTGAGCTTTAAATGCCTCTTGTGAAAAGCAGATTCTGGGTTCAAATCCAGGCCCATCTGAATGAATGGGCCCTCCCCATGTGCCCAGCCACTCATGTGTATCACCAACTCATTTACACAGACAAGCCGACTGAACCCTCACCTGAATCTAGTCAGATAACGTGGGTTTGCTTGCCTCTGTTTTGGTTTGGTTTTTCTAGCCTGCATAGTTTAAATAAAAATTCAATTAATTACCAATATCTAAAAATTGTTGATGTCATAGTTTCTCATGAAAAGCAGGCTTTTCCTAAACTCTCACAAAATGTGCCAATGCTGTGCTTGCACATTCATGTGGCCAGAGGCCTTTGATGCTGTATGTGGAACCCATCACCAGCCTAGAGGGTCACCTGTCCCTCCACTACTGCTGAGATACAGAGGCCAAATTCTCAGTGCTGTTTATCACTCACATGCTGTTAATTTCCAAACCCAAATCTCTCTCAGTAACAGCCATGGGAACATAAGATGAGCCACAGGACACAGCACCCAGCAGTGTCAAGTCTAGCAGCAAGGCAGGAGGTGTGTCTATGTCCAAGGGAGCCTAAGGTGCACACACATCAAGGCCTGCGTGGGCCCCTGGAAGCCAAACACCTGCTTGGACCTTGCACTAGACAACGCCCACCCAGACCACCATGTGGACTCCATTTGTAGACACTTACCGAGGACCCCTGGGGACCAAAGAATGGTTACTGCTACTTGGTCGTGGCATGCATACTGACTGATGGTGATGTTCTGGGCATCAGCAATCACGTGCTTTCCCACTGGGTTCAAGTAAGTGGTGCAGTCTAGAGAGTTGGGAGAATGGGAAGAGCTGAATTTAAATTTTTATTTTTTATTTTGAAGGTCATCTTCTCAAATTACACAAAGTACACTTAGAGCTAGCCAAAACACATTCTGTTTAAAGACATGTAACATCAAAGGCTGACTAGGAAGCTGTAAGATGTTGCTGTGATTTATTTATAGCACCAGCGCCCATGGCTCCAGTTAAATACAGGTCCCTGTTAGGAGGATCATATAGTCTGGAGACTGTGTGTGTGAGTGTGTCTGGCATTAACTTTTTTACTACTATAACATTTTACCTAAATCAATCATTATTTACATCAATTCAGTTTTCACCATGAGAGAGTGATTTGAAACAAAACAAAGCTATAAATAACCTGGAGATGGTTGGTTTGTTTTTATTTTTATTTATGTATTTTTTAAGATTTCCATATATGCATACAAGAACTGGGGCACAGGCCAGAGTTTTGGGGGGTGAGAGGATTCACCAGAGACAAGAGTGGGGAACAGAACAAGCAGACTGAAATACACTGCTGAGGGGAGCAGCGGGCAAGTCAGGAGATGTCTGCTGCACCAAGCGGGTCACCTTCCTGGCTGGGAATTGAACCTGTGCTGTAGCAGCTGCGGTGAGCATAGGTTGCGTCTTAACCCCTTGAGCCACCAAGGAGGCCCCAGTTGGTTTGTTTTTGGAAGAAAGCTAGAGGGCACAGTGCCTATGGGAAAGGAACTAATAAGAGGATGTGAGCTGGAGGGGAATAATTTTCACACCAAGACTGTTAAACAATTCACTTAGAGTGCCTGCAAAAGGTACTAACCATCTTAGTGATAAAGCAAAGCACCTATACAGTTAACTGGCATCTCAAAGGTAAAATTTTTGTTCCCAAACACCATATGCTAACAAAGAGCCCCACATGGCTCAAGAAAAGATAACCACTGCTTCTTAGATTTCGTCTTAAGACAGTGCTCACTGCCACCTGTCACTGCAGCCACAACTATGTGCGCACCTGTGCCACCTGGTTCTGCTAAATACACCTTCAGAGGTCACAAGATCCTTAAAAAGGGCCAGGAGCATCCAGACATGCCTGGCAGACACCACCTCATAGTTCTCATGGTGTTTCATGTCCATATCATTCTCATTGATCAAACTTAAAACCTTTTTAGCAAGTGCTACACAAGATCTTCAGTTCCTTCAAACATCCAAACCTGCCGTGACTGCTCTGAAGTCAGTTCCTCTTTGAGGGGAAGGATTCAGGAGTTTGCCCTAAGAAGTTCAGTAAATCAGGCCTCCCCTGGTAGTGGAGCGGTTGAGAGCTGGGCTGCGAAGCTGCCTGCAGCCTCTGCAGAGCCGGTTCAATCCCAGGTCACCAGCGAGGGTGCCACATGGTGCGCAGACCTCTCCTGCCCCACCCGTTGCTCCCCTCAGCAGTGTATTTCAGCAGTCTGCCTGTTCTGCTCCCTGCTCTGGTGAATTCTCTCACCCTCCTGCGCTTCTGACTGTACCCAGTGCTTGTATAAAAAATAAATAAATAAATCTTTTAAAAAAAAGACAAACAGAAGTTCCGTAAATCTGTGACATTCCTCCCCATGTAAGTTACATTTTCCATTTTTATGACTAAGAATATCCGTTGGATATTTGAAAATCACCCAAAAATGTAAGAAAAATGTGCGTTACCCATAACCTTCCACCCTATAGAGGTAACTTTATTAACATCTAATGGCTATCTTTCCAAGTCTTTAACACATATATAATATTCCCTTCAAAATCAATTAAAGGACAGCACACATGGATTAAAATGCACCCCCCCCTTCATACTGCTTTGTGTCTAACCATGTTAGGCACGCTCCTTACTATAAACTCCATCTGCTTCAAAAATAGCTACCTCTACATTTCAATGTTACTTCTTTCAAAAAAGATGTTAATAATAAAACCAAATTCTACTTCTGATGAGAAGCCACTCTCAAAGCATTCAACATGTGTTCTCCAGGTACAGAACAGAAATTCAGAATTGGAAGGGAAAAAAATTCTTTTTAACATCTGGTTTAACACCCACACCGTACAAATGAGGAACACTGCTGCTCGAGAGACAGGCTGGGGGCTTAGGATTCTAAAGCTGCCCGGTCCATGTCCAGGGCCAGGACAGAGTGGCTCTAACCATTCTGTCCTCGCCACAGCTCATTATTAGTAACATGGTTCTGAAGTCGAGGTGTTCGGATGGCTAAAGTCTTGGTGGAGAGCATTGTCTTCCCAATACAAAAACAGACAAGAGCTCACCATGTCTATAACGCTAGAACATTTTCATGCATTGAGGTCTATAATGAGAGAAACTTTTGACTTAAACAGCTTTAGGAAAAGATGGAAGAGCAAATCATACTTTTTTCCCTTTGTTCAGAATGCCAGACTGAGCACTCTCTGGGTTTCTGTAAATGTAATTATGCAAATATAAAGTCTAAGAAATCTGAAAATGTATTACAACCTACTCAGGCATTACCCCTCAGAGCCTGAAAGAGAAATGAGACATGCGAGATGTGAAAGGAAACCAGGAAACCTATGAAATTTGGTTTTGAGTTAAAGACAAGACATTGATTTTTCTTTGCAACATTAAATGAGGAAAGAAAAAAAAATAAGACTGTACAGTCTGGTATGTTGGTGAAAACTTAGTAATTGGTTCTTAGCTATTTCTAATAGGCCCAGTGACCAATCAACTGAGCAGTAACAGAAAATTCCATGTGGAAGAGGAGTAAAGTATCTTTTTCAATGGAAAACAATGAATAAGTTTTTACAAAGCCTGGATCCAATTATTAGCGACTCTAAAGTTTTGGATTCTGGTTACAAAAAAATTACGCCCAAATGACATTTTGCCAAAATGCAACTGAGCTTCAGATGTCTCAGGAGTCAATGCGAGTTGTGAATTAAATTCTAATTAAATGTTGAAGAAACAGAAAGAAAATAATGGGTATCAATATGTGAGCCAAATATTTAGTCCCATGAAGAAAACTAAGATACTTTTAAGTTTTACAGGTATAGATCCCTTTTCAGAAAATCCCATATTAAATTAGAGATGCAAATACTTGTTTGCAGCTGACTGGAAAATTCTGAACTCTTGGAAGTAATATAAGATCAGCCAGGACCAAGAGCACATATTAGAAATTAACTTTCTAAAAAAAAAAAAAAAAGAAATTAACTTTCTAACTCAAATAAAGATCCCTTACACATGTCTCTACTTAGCTGAACCAAGTATCACGGACCTGCAAATCGTTCATTAGCATTACTGCATTTAGCCAGAACATGCACAGACAACTAACAAAATGTCTGAGTGTCACAATGTAAGCCCTCAATGGTTAACTAGAAATACCCAACTGTGAATCTAACACACATATTTGTATGTTAAAATTGTTAGATTGTACATATGACCTCAAATACCCTGCTTTAGCAGTTGTCATTCCAGAGACCTCAATGTGACCTATGCTCTTGGATTTGTAACCCTCTGCAGAAGATGAATTCAATGTCAGGAGTCACTATGAGTCCTGCCTCCTCTTGTCAACATTTTTACTTACAAATTATGCCTCATAAGGCTCAAATGATCACAGTTCAGTTTAGCCAGAAGAAGTTACACCTCCTTAAGACAAAAGGCCAAAAAGGCACTCGTATTTCAACTGTAGCTGAAATAACTTCTAATATTAACACCTATCAATTAATGAATGCACACCACAGAGTAGGCCATCAAGTTGAGCAGTCACAACCATCACCTCACTAAAGTCTCCAAATGATTCTGAGAAAGAAATTAATCTTTATTTTCTATAATGAGAAAACTGACACTGGGAAAAATTAAGCCCTCTTCCATGTTCCGACAACTGATAGGTGAAGGTTGGGGCTAAAACCCAGGCCTAAGTCAGGATAGCTAACTGGAGACCTTTAGGCCAATCTGGGACACAAATTCACATGGCCTACTTTGTATGCCTGAAAACTTGAAACTAAATGCCAATATTAAAAAATGCAAATCTCCTACTTTCTTGGAAATCACATCTGGCTATGCTCAGGGAACTCCTCGAAACCACAATGAGCTGGAACAGGGAAGCCAGCGTTCCCTTCTGAGCAGACATGGGCTCTCCAGTGTGCCACAGTCCCCACCACTCCCTAGCACCCTGCACATGAGTAGCTTTGCTGATCTGTTCACTGCTAGGCTCTATGGGCATCTGCATTTGTTCTTAAGGAAATGACTAGGCCCTGGGGAAATCAAAGGAGGTCTCTACACAGAACATCTCTGAATACTATGGCGGACACTTGACCTGTTCATACTCCCTGTCCATATTTGAATGGCTTAATTGAGATTAAGCCACTTTAGCTCTGTTGACAAAACTGAGGAGGTTCTGAAAATTCCACCTTCAGGACCTGCAGTGGCCCTGACTACGCATGACTGTTGTAGGTTTTGAACCACTAAAGGGCTCCATTCTTTGGCGGTCAGGCCAGTTACTTACTGTCATATCTGAAGGTGATGTTGTGCAGCCCGCTGTTTCTGCTGGCCGACCCCACTCCCTATGGGAAAACAAGAGAACACGATGAGGAGTGAAGCCAATTTGCTTTTCCAGCACACATCCCCATGCAGTAAAAACACACACATGACTGTAGAGACCCAGGGTCATGCCAGTCACTGAGCAACATCTATTGCTCTTTCCACGCCGCTATGTTCTCACCCACCACCCTGACACTCCACTTCCCCTCTGCTGCCAAACTCCCTCGAGCCCAGGAGATTCCTAACTGCCAGGCCATGGGAATCATGAGTACCCACTTCCCTTAAGACAAAAGGAGCAGGCTGTTCTGTGTTTGGGGGTTAAATAATAATTCATTAACAGTAAAATTGGGAGAGAGACCACAGCTGCCAGCTGGAGCACTTCCAGTTGGATCTGCTTTGAGGGCTGATTGGTTGTAAAACTCGCCTACCAGACACTCTTATCCAAAAGTACTATTAAGCCACGACAGATAGGCAATTCCTCAAGTCTAAGGAAACAGGTTTCTCCTTCCAAGACCAGGAATGAGTGTGGGAATAAGCCGTTACTTTTAATGAGAAAATTCCTCACTGCATCCGTACCTATGCTTGGAATATATAGGGTGGGTCATAAAAGATAGAGGAAAAAAAACTTTTAAAAGTCTAACGCTAAGTCGTGGTGATGTGGCTGTTAGCCATCTGCACTCTTAATAACAGGGATAACAACTCCACCAGACTTCCCACTTTAATTACAGCATCCACAAAGGGAGTCCCAGAATCCTCCCACTAACCCACCTTTTCCTAACCCACTACTTATCCAGCATGGGAACTAATTGCTACAGATCTACTGACTCTTACTTCACTGTTTCTGTAATAATCTGCAAATGTGCCAGTCAGTATTAATTGCAGAATTCTCCAAAATATGTCAATTCTGAAATGCTAAATGATGGGAAAATATTCTAACCACACAGCTAAAGTTTCCACTCAACAAGAGGGATGGTGGGGAAAACCATATGCTGCAGGCCTGGTATTTAATGGGTAATTGTTACACTGAGACACAATGTTGCAGAACACTTCTGATGGGGCCCACTGTCTCCCCCCACAACCCCAGCATATCCATATGCTACAGGCATGTTCACACTGCTTATTCTGGAGCCAGGCACGCCCACTGAAACTGGATCCTTGAGCTCAGATAAACACAGACCTTAGAAAAGCACAGCTGTGCAGATAAGTACACACACACACACACCATTCTGTGCTCGCTTCGGCAGCACATATACACACACACACCATTCTAATTAAAGTGAGGAATGAGCAGTAACAGGACATCTAAATCAACATGGTACACTAGCCCATGATCTACTGAGACTCCCCTTCTTCAGGGTTTCCTCCTTTCAGTCTCCCTTTCCCACATACACAAGATTCCAGAATGTTGCTATATTATTAAAATCCTCTTAAATTATTAAAAGCCTTCTTAAATCCTTAGGGATGAGGCCACAGTCTGTGCAACTGGAGGATGCCCAGCTTCTGGATGGCCAAGACCATAATAACACAAGCAGACATGAGACCAGGAGGAGACAGTGCAATGTCCCCACAAACCCACAGTCCAAGACATCTGCAACGTATACTCTCCTCCCCTACAAACCTCCAGGACATAAAACCGGGCCTCCCTGGTGGCACAAGGGGTTAAGTCTCAGCACTATGAAGCTATGAGGAGCCACTGCAGCACAAGTTCGATCCCTGGCCAGGGAGGTGACCCACATGGCGCAGCAGACCTCTCCTGTCTCGCCCACTGCTCCCCTCTGTAGTGTATTTCAGTAGATCTGCCTGTTCTGTTATCCACTCTGTCTCTGTTGAATCCTCTTACCCCTGCACCTCTGGCCTACACCCCAGTTCTTATATGCATAAGTAAATAAATCCTTGGGGGGGAAAAATGCACCATCTATTATGAGCCAGATGTTACATTAGTAATGGTGATGAGTAGATGAGTAAAACAGCCACTATCCTTGCCCTCAGGCAGGAAGCAGCATGAAGCTCCTTCTTTCAATGAATAGGGACTGGTTACAAGGATCACACCCTGGGCATACAGACCAATCTCAGATCATACCCTGGCCTTCCAAGAACCTTCAGTGTATAAGGCCAGGAAAAGTCTATGTAGGCAGAGTTAAAGAGCCAGCCATAAATAAGAATACAGTGTATTAAATGCATCAAGGCAGTACCTCGGTAAGGATGAACCATGGGCAGGGATAACACATGAACCTTACAAGAGTTAAGGATAATTAGCAGAGTGAAGAGGAAAGGGAAGTGTCATGAAGGGAAACAGAGGTGCAATTTAGAGTCCAAGACAAAGACCTTCCTCCTTCCATTCTCCAGCTGGTGACCAAAGGCAAATCAAGTCTAAGCTGTTTGAAAAAAATATCCCTCATGATTCTCACCTTGGAAGGGCACTTGAGAAAGATCCTGTGAAGCCATATAAAGGAAGCACTTTCCAAAAAGGAAACATTCTGAGACATGTTAAGATTGTGGGCCAATCACCTTACTAGCATGACTTTGACAACTTATTATTTTGTTCTTACTTCGCTTACATTTCTATTGTAACATGTTTTCTAGCAGGTATTTCTTGGATACTTACAATGCACAATGCATTGTGGAAAGGAAGTCAAGGCAGTGTGATGTGCTATATTCTGCATGCAAGAACCTAAATCCCTCTAATTAATCCCTACTTCTGCTGATGTAGATGCAAAGTGGGAATTCTAATTCCACAGAAAATCCAACACCAAGATTTTGTGGCCATCAACGCCTGACAATAGGAGTTAGAATTGAAAGACACCATCGCCAGGACCATCTCTTGTGTGCGCTGTAAAAACCTTTCACTCTGGAAGGGGCGGAAGCCCCCCAGAGCCATGGTGTGCCCAGGCCAGTTCACAGAGCACTGTTTTCTTTATACTTTCTAGCAGAATAACCTTGCCCCAGTCCCCTAAACATGTCCACATCATTACCCCCATGAATGCATTACTTTGTAAAGCAAAAGGAGCTATGTAGATGTGAAACGTTTTAAGAATTCTGAGATGAGGAATTATTCTGAATTATCTGGGTAGCCCAATGTAATCACAGGGTCCTTATAAGAGGACAGGAAGGTCAGAGTTAAGAGGGGATATGACAATGTAAGCAGAAAGCAGAGAAAGAGAGAGACAGACATTGCTTTAATTGATTTATGCTACTGGTTTTGAAGATGGAGGAAGGCAGAACTAGAGTCAAGAAATACAGGTGGCTTTTAGATGGTGAAAAAGGCAAGGAATGGACTTTCCCCTAGAACCTCCAGAAGGAGCCAGCCCTTGCCAACATCTTGATTTTAGCCCGTAGGACTAGTTTTGGAATTCTGACTTTATGATTACAAACGCATACTGTTTTAAGACACTAGGTTTGTGGCTAAGTTGTTAGAGCATCAATTAAAAGCTGATGCACTCTTAGATCATTTCAGTTGCAATATGATGAAATGTTTCTTGGTGTCACATACATGACACATGCTGCCACCCTCCCACTGCCACACCCAGGGCACACCAGTCATTTGTCCCTGGACTTTCCCACACCAACCTCTGGCAGCCCAGAACACTGACCCATCAAAGATAATGCATGAGATTTTTCCATCCTGGATACAGGCTTCCATGAGCAAGTCTGGGGGCTCATCTGGAGTTGAAATTAACAGAATGGGCTTTGAAGTTGAGCAGATGTGTGTTCAAATCCCCCACTTTCCAACTGGATGTGACCTTGGGCAAATTTCTAAACTTTTCTGAACCTCATTTCCTTGGGCTATATATAAAATACTTGAATACAATCTCCTGCAAACAAATGGTGTAAGGACTTTGTGAGATGTCATATATCAAGTGCAGCATCTGACATGTAATGAAAAGGTTACTTCATACTCAGAAGAGTAAAATTTCTGAGAAATCTCCTGCTTTAATAAACAAGATCAGAGTTATGCTAAAAAGGGGAGATGCAGAAGGCAGCAAACAAGCCAATTTCCTGAGGGGTCCTTGGGGATCTGTGCAATGTGAAGGCATGGACTTCCCTGAGCAACAGTTCAAATCCAGCTCCAAAATATCTCAACTGCAATTTTGCAAAAAAGTGCATCTTGAAAAAAGCTGATCACAGCTGATCACAGCACCCCCTCTGCCACTTGAAGGCAGCTACAGTAAGGCATAAACAAGACTATCTTTAAATCAATGAAGGAACTTTCAGAAAGCTGGCAATGTTTTAGTGCTCAGCACAAGGTAGCAAGGAGGCATTAACCAGCACATCATGGAACATGTCCTACTGATGGTCAGGTGGGAACCAGGCGGCTCAATGACTCCAGCTCTGATATGTGCTCTGATTGAGCTGGATGGGGGGACGCTGACAGAATAATGGCCAACGTAACCACCCCCTCAAATGCTTGCCCTCCCGTGCTGGACCTGACACAATTTTCTGCCTGAATGAATGAATAAGCCAGGTAGCATATAAAGTGAGTCCAGAGGACCTGACTTGGCATGACTAGGTGACTTAGAACCAGTGTCCACACTAAAAGAAGACAGATAAGGCAACTTACAAAGCTGGTCTTCAGGAAACAATTCCAAGTTGTAGCTACTACACTCATTTTAACATTTAATGAGCTGATAACTAAGAATACTTGTTTGCTGCCCATTATTTAAAAACTATAAATGCCAATGCTGTGGCCTCAGGGTGTCACAGTCTTAGTTAATTAGCCACCCCCATTTGCTGCACTAACTGGCGGTGTTTAATTTGTTTCACTGTGAGGTAAGAAGCAAGCCCCAGGTGCCTGGAGTTCTGCTATGGTGAGCAGGGCCGGAAGCAGAGAATGGGAGCATAATGGAGAAAACATCTTTTACTCAGGAAGAGGAGTGGGGGGGGGGGGAGAGAAGGGAAGAATAACCTTTAAGTGTGTTAAAGGAATAAAATTCAAAGGCCAAAGCCTACACCATGCTCCACCCACATGGCAAAGAAGCAAAGGCCTGACACAAAGACACCACAGGGCAGGACCCACACAGAGCTA